GAATTTACCAACAGTGATATTATAATTAGAACTAATTCATTTGAATCAATTGGCAACTAATTACCTTGACTACACAGAAAGATAAGCCCAGATTAAAACGATAATTACCTTGTAACTTCTGACAATCACTTCTTAATATTATGTCACATATAGTGAGAGTGTAGAATTTGCGCTTGGTGAACACGAGAGGCAACATCAGGCAATTTCTTCTTACCTTATTTTAGACTACCACGCAGGTAACTTGAATCACTAATTATTCACAATGAATTTTTTCGCGCCTTTTAAAATTCTGATTGCAAACAAATTTTCTTAGTAACTTCAATACATGTGATTCCAGCTGTGTTGTTGGGATTAATTAATACTTGAACTCAGAGAGTTCATAGAAAGTTTGCAGCAAAGGAAAACCAAAAAAAGCGAGAAGGTTGATCTGAGCCGAGTACGTTTCAGAGAGGTAAAGATTCAGTGGTTCCTTTTTGATAGTTGACAGCTTAAAACGCGTTTTTATACTGTTTTTTTTTTTTATGTAATTGAGCTTAAAAAGTTCTAAACTTATAAACTCAAGCTGCTCTATATGTTCTACACGAGGTTTTATTATGAAAAGATAGTATCATGCATATATATATTTTAAAAAAGTTAATTTGAGGCATTTGCTTGGAACCAAACATACAAATGCTTTAAAACTATAGATAACTCTTTTAGACAAATTTCTCGTGAATTTGAATTTCATTTCACTGGCAATCCGCATCAAATAGCCTGTACGAGTAAAGAGAAAAGAAAAAGAAGAAGAAGAAGAAAAAAGAAGTTAGAGTGCAATATTGGGTAGCTCTTTAAATATCCATTTTACGGATCAAGTAGAATTTCTCTTTAACTTTTTTTCATTTATTTCTACGCTTATATAGTGTGTTATAAATTTATATTCTCCGTCGCCCTTAGGTGGTCATGATCAAAGGAGTCAGTTATGATAAATCTTTATTTATCAGAAAATCGTTTATCTCTTTGTCGAATAATTCAGTTGTTTAAAAAAGTTTTTTTTAAATTAGAACTTCTCAGTGCCACAGTCAACGTTCTTTTGGAGTGGAACTATGTGAATTGTTGCAAAATATAATCAGAGCTACAGAAAATTAGATTTCAATAGGTGACTTTCAACCAAATGAACTTCCAAGGGGCTCGACATACAGTCATCAAATGAAGTACTGCTTTGAATCTAAATTAGCTTTGTCCATGTGATTAACTTACACTTTGAAATGCACGCTGATTCGATCTCCCCCTCGGGTCGGGCAAGCGATCATTTGCTGTTCTTATACTGATGGAAAAGGAAAGTTAATACTAGTATTTTCGACTTTGTGATCCGACATGCTTTAAAATCGTTATAGGCTCTAAATGCAAGTAAAGTGGTAATATTAGATTAGTGATTGTACTTTCTTAGCATTTCTTTCAGAGATACAATGGCAAAGATTATTTGTTCATTACTGGCAATGGCACTGCTGGCATACTTGATCTCTCCGGGTGATGCTTGGGGGAGAAGCCGTTTAAGAATCAGGTTACCACCAATCAGAATCAGAATACCACCAATACCGGCTACCACTAAGGCCCCGACCACAACTACACCACCGCCAACCACAACTGCACCGCCGCCGACCACAACTACACCGCCGCCAACCACAACTACACCGCCGCCGACGACAACAACACAACCGCCGACCACAACTACACAGCCGCCGACCACAACAACACAACCGCCGACTACAACGACTCAGGCGCCCACTACTCCAGTCGAAGTTGATGAATGTGAAGGATACTAATACAAATCGTCATTTATTCCGTTAAAAAGAACATTATAGAACCATAATAATCCTATACTAAACAATAAATAAACGAGACATTTTATCTGTGATTTTATCTGGATGAGTACATTCCTGTCTGTTTCCTTAGTTCAGGGGTACCCAACGACGGTTTCATCCTGAATACATTGAAAACAATTTTTAGGCTATCCAGAGTAATTCTAGATCTCTAGAAATGTATTTTAAGCGGTACTACAAAATTTTTATTTGTTCGATCAACCTACAGGAACTTCAGTCTTTTCGAAATTACAGGGGCTTCAGTATCATTCTCCCGAAGATTTTGAATGCAATTTAACGTATCACGAAAGTGAGAATAATTTTTCTGATTCTTCTCTCCGTCATATTTTTGAATCCGAAAACTTTAGGTTTCCTTTTTTCTAGCTAGCCTAACCTGGGGAGTAGAATGCGAGAAATTAAACTTCAGAAAATCCTATTGAATTTTAGTAGATAAGCTTCGAAAATTGTACATGAATGGAACAGTCATCGAGAAATTTTTAACCGTTCTTTAGGCAATTTTTTCCTCTCCAAACAGATATTTTATAGAAAACAGTCGTTGGGTGCCCATGTTTTTCTTTGGTTGTTTACTGAATGCATGTTGCGTTCAACCCAAGGCGTCAGCAAACGGCTCATCCCTGCTAACTAATATATCACCAGGTGTATTTGTAGTCGTGGGTCAATTTTATCATTGGTTTAAATTTTATTTTCTATTGAAGGTAATTTCTTTGTCATACAGTACCATACCCAAGAGCAATTAGGAAGATAAAATAAAAACCTAAGATAAATGTGAAACACAATATATTATTCAGGATATCCCACCATTGACGTAAAGCACAAAATAATATCGATGTGTTATCAATTGCTTGACATAACAGGTTAGTTGCTATGGCAAAAATATAATATGTGCGTTATAAAACACCTTATTTTGTTTATTTAGCGTCTTGCCTCTAATAATTCTACTTCTCCGAAGCGCCGCCAAAAGATAAATAAGCTTCAGTCCTGAGATTAATGACAATGAGGTACTAAAGTGTAGGTGACATTACTGAAAAATTCATTAATGTTGCCTATACATTAGTGCCTCATTGTCGTAAATCTTAGGACTGAAGCTTATTTATAGTTTAAAAACTATCGAGACAGTTCGAAAAACTTTAAGATGAACGAGTAATCGTATTCAGGCCAGTTACATAATCTTCTTCGCCTCAAGGTTATTTTATTTAAGTATATACTAAAATAATGGATGTTTTACGCGCGCTTCAATTGGCTACTCAAAGTCGGGATATCCAGTGCTTTTCACTGATTCATCTCCAGCTCCTGCGAGCAAGTGACGCCAAACTCGCGTAAGTTACGAGCAAAATGGTTTCCCGGTTTGCTGCCGTAAAAAAAAAAAAAAAAAAACTTCACAGATAATCAAACAAGCTTTTCCCGAAAAGAAGAAGGTGACGAAATTGAAACGTTTTTTGTTTACAACTGCAATTTTTTTCACCGGTTTCATCGATAAATTCAACAACCACTAGTCACCTCCACTTCAGTGAATAATTGTTATTTATTTATTTATTTTGCTTCAAAAATGAAAAAACACAATGTAAGAGATTCAAAATGCAACCATTTGTCTCAAAAATGCGAAAAATTATTGAAAATTACCTCAGTTACTCAGTAATCAGTCCTCAGTCCAGAAGCATTGAAAAAAAAAAAACCAGGCCCCCAGGCTGTGACAGGAATAACCTAATAAGGACAAAAAACGTACTTCCCTTTGCATTTGTCTGGTCTGACTTATAATCTCAAACGCAACGAGGAGTGTCTGGATGGGGTTAACTGACAACTGACAAATGGCCAATATTTTAACTGACAACCGACAAATCGCCTAAAATTTAATTGACAACTGACATTTGCCACCGGTTTTACTGACAACTGACAAAGGACCTGATTGTCTTTTATTTTCTACAAAACCCGTTTTTAAGGCCTTTTAAGAGTCAGTTTTACCAGTCAATGTTCGTCAGACGACGTGATCAAATGCCCAAATGTACTTTAATATGGGTAATCTTAGCAGCAGGACGCTTAAAATGAGCGTCATACTTCGTTAAAGCGTTTACTTCCAAACCCTGTGTTTCATGTACCATCCGTTGTAAATGACCTATGCTTCCAATTTTTGCTCCCCTGAGAACCCGCCAAGATGGCTGCTATAAAAGCAATTGTATTAAAGTGCTTACTGAGATGATTCAGCATGGCATTTGTACGACACAGAAGCCATATTCCGATAAATGACGTGAATATGGCAGAACTGATATGGTGCTCGCAATCTAAAGAAACACTTTGTTTCATTCTTTGGCCAATCACTGGTCACTATCGAGGCATGGAAAGCAAAACTCAATCAAGTTAATCGTAATAAACAACTGTTCCCAAATTTTTGGTCATTCTTACGATCTATGTCCCAACTGACGGGCATAGTAAATTTTAATTGGGTTAATATTTGGAAATGCTCGACTCTGGCCAGCAAAAATGTTTCGACAAGACTTGAGAAATGAAAGGCCACTTGAAAGGCTTTTAATAGCAAGCCTGGTCAAAATTAAGGTACTACATAATGTTTAATTTACATTATATGTGCCGTTTAGCTAAACTTTGGATCAAAAATAAACAAATAAGTTTCATTCTTAATTATTAATAGTCAGTTAACTAACAACTGATAAAAAGCCTAAAATTTAATTGACAACTGACAAATGGCCAAAATTCTAACAGACAACTGACATTTGTGCCCCCAATCCAGACCCTCAACAAGCGCAAAAGCAAGTAGAAAAACGAGGAGAGACTGGGGCGAGGGCGAGGGAATACCCTCCTTTGTCGCCCCAGCCTCTCCTCGTTTTTTTTCCTCGTCAATTTTTCGCCGCGTTCTACTATCTTAACGCCTGGGATAGGCTAGGTAATTATCAGGACTTCCGAAAAGGGCCCCAGGTCTTCCCCAGGTCCATTATAAAAGACAGGTGCAATTAAAAGGTCAAAACTAGGGGAAAGAATGGACTGACGCAAAGTCTAAGCCGATGCTGACATTTTCAGTTAATTGAAAATATTGCCAGGCATTATTAAGTCATTGTTTGTTTTGTTACTGCCGGCTATAATCCGGCCCAGATTAAAGATATTTTATTTAAGCATTTTGATATAAGAGAAGCTAGATCTAGCCGTGTAGTGGATCAATGTGAATAGCGAGATCTCACCACTGACACCAAAGAGGCCTGTATCTACAAAAGTTAGTAGCAAGCCATTGAGAACACCGTGTGGATTTAAAAAAAAGGATACTACAAAGAAAAAGTGATAACTTGTTTGTTAAAAAATCGCTGGAATTAGAAGGTAAAATAGCTGCAAGACCACATAGTTTATTTGTTTATTTACTATTTTCTTATTTCCTTTGAAACATGGACATATACAAACGTGAAGTTTTTGGCCTTGTTTCGATAGTAAGTTTTTATAGAGGAGCCTATTACTAGGACGTTTGTCAGGTTCTTTACAGCGGACTTTACTAAATTAAAGTCTACATCAAGGACCACAAAAACAAAAAGTATGTCCTATTTAAACGCTGAGCTCCTCGAAAACCATACCTCCTCCCACGGCACATGCCTGTATAAGGCGTAGAAGGGAGAGTGACCACGGGATTTTTTAACAAAGACCCTTTGTTCGCCACATAAGGATTACTGCTTAGTCGCATTTTGTCCAGTTAATCAGCTTTCCTAACCCGCAAAACTTTAAGAGGTAGAAGAAAAACATTTTGTAAAAACCCGGGGACTAACAGAATTGCTGTTAGGTAATCTAGGAATTTTAGGCACGCAAATTTTGTTTAAAGAAAGATTCAAGTTAACTTTTTTGGCTCTTGACTTAACAACACTGTCTAATGAAAAATTAAGGAACAAATGGTCGATTAATTAATAACTGACCGTCAACTGTTGATACCCAATTCTACGATTTGGGTACCTATCGGAAGTCCCAAGCAAATATATAAAACGGTAGAATAAAATTAAATTATCAAGACAGTCAAAAAATGCTGGCCTGTTCCAGGCTCCAAGATAGTAATGTGCAGTCACGCAACGAAAAGCGCATGGGGACCACCACTCACTTCTTAAGATCACGCGCGTCTTTTTTTCGCTTGCATTGGCTTACTTTCGCCGCGATGTCCCCGACTATCTGAGGGCCTGACACAGGCTAAAAATTGCAAGCCGGTCGACGTCAGTGACTTGGAGCAAGTCGTTTGTACTGTGATTAAACTCTCACATCTCTTCTACTGTATTTTTTTGTTCTCGTCATAAATTTTTAATCTTTTCTTTTTGCCTTTTTTATAAGGGAAATGGCGGGTAATATCGTGCTTGTTTGCCTTTTCATTCTTGGTGGAATTGCCTGTAGTTCACTCACTGCTGAGATTACAAAGAAAGCAGCTGTAAAGACATCTGATGAAAAAGCAAAGAGGGGTTACGTTTGCCCTAACAACAATGGCGGACAATGGATAAATGAACCCACCGGCCACTTCCTGTATGAGTGTACCGGAAGTAAGATGGAGTTTGACTCGACTCTACCAACTGTGCTATCTGTGTCTCTTATCTATATTTTAGTTTTAAAAAATTCAGACTTGCTTTAAATACATTTTGTACCCTAAAAAAAATACAAAATACACGTTGCCAGCAATGGACCGATTTTGATCTTTTAATTTAGAAATAAAATTAATTGAAATCAGGAAAAAATCTTTTAATTAACGATAACAGTTGAGCCTCTTATGTGAAGTGGTAGATGATGTCGGCATTTCCTCCCCATGATGATCTTAAAAAATAGCCATTTAAGGTACGAAATGTTCCAGGGGAATAAAAAAAACATTAAAAAATCTTGAGAGATTGACTTCTTGTTGGAAATAGTTTTGTCCAATAATGCCACTAGCTTCGCCAATCACTCCTACGATTTTCAGGTGTAATCAAATGACGATGAGTGAAAATAGAAATTTTAGTGAAAACTGTAATGATTTGCGCAACCTTTAGTGAAGAAATTATATAAACATTTTACTTCACCTGCTGTTAAATTGTGTGCTCTTTCGTGTGTTTAAGTTTTCCCCACTTTTTTAATGCCCTGAAAACAAGCTCTTGCCTGACATCTCCTTTTTAAACCTGTCGGTCATCGTGGCACATAGATATATTGAGCGTTAACTTAAGAACTTTGTAATTTCACTCGAAGTTATAAATTAATTCTGAAAATTCGCTCCGAAATTAAGGAGTATTCGCCACTGATATTACTAAGGAAATGACTTGTAAACAGACGAAACCACAGGCTAATGGCAAGCGATCGCATATGTCTCAGATCCAAGTTGCAAAGTTGCAACCATTAAAGAGAGAAACTTTATGGCTGAAATTTGATCCTCCCTTGGCTTAAAACCTGATTGCAATTCATGGTAATTTATTATTTAATATTTATTTATTTTTATTATTTCCTCTCCTGCAGGAAATTCAGTCACTTCCATCGCATCAGCGTATGTTCAGACAAAACGCGATCGGCGCTGGAAAATGGGCTGCGGTTACAACAAAGCCGTCAAATCTTGTGCGTGGACAAGTTATAAGAACGATTGGGATAAGCCTCTGAGAATTGAGTGTCCACATTACGGATTCATAGCTGGTAAATATAATTGAGTTTGAGAACCTTTTTGACTTTATTCAGCTTGTTTTTAATTCACGAACTGAACTTATTCATATCTACTAATAGTCTCAGGTTCACATTTCAGCAGTCTGTCCTGTCTTACTGTCTGTTTATCCGGACTCCTGCTTTGTTTAATTTTATCTATTGTCACTGGATACATAATTGGCCCGGGACGCGGAAATAAGTAACACTTTAAATTCCGTCATGTTGGGCCTTTGCGCTAGTGGCATGATGCTTTGCGACCCTCGCTTATGATTGCTTGTCTTTCGCCCTCCTCTTGGCCAGTTCAATTAACGGAGCTCAGTGGAAGTGACTCAGCTGAAAGTTCCGCCCCTCCGACCTCCCCTGGTGGCGGTTGACGTCGTAGACCATCATTATTCAGCATACCTATTGTCTAGGCATTATGTTTCCTCCCCTATTAACTCAGCCTGTTTCTGGACAATTGGTATGCAGTGCGAATATTATACTTTAAACATATCAGTGTACTTTTTTATTGATTAAATTAACTGTCCCATTCATGATATTTAATCCTAAATTGTATTTCAGGCGTTGAAAGTTATTTTCGAATGAAGAATTATGACCGTAGATTCAGGTTCAAGTGTTGTAACGACGCCAAAAACTACGAGACAACAGGATGTGTTACGACTGCCTTCATTAACCACTGGAAATTGCCCCTGGATTTTCAAGTTAAACGAAGACTTGGCTACTATCTCGTCGGGATGTACAGCGAGCACAAGGAAAAGTTCCAGTAAGTTGAAACATAGAAAAGAAATCTAAAAGAACTACGTTGTTGGCGCGGAAAAAGCAACCGTCACTGATTTGTACCACGAAACTAAGTTTTCCGAAACGTTAACTATTCATAACTATAAGAAGAGTAAATTTCACATTCATCCTCTACTACCAGAATTGTTTTTAAAATAAAAATGTGTCCGAGTGTCAAAAATTAAATGTCATTCACCAATTAATATAGTTTTTTTTTTTTTTTGCAGCGAGGCGGCGTTTTTTGTGTAGTTACTTACAGAAAGAGGATTATAGGCATGCATGATTACGATTTTTTGCACGCGTTTTGTAACCTATTGTACGAGTTGTACCTTGTATCACTTGTAAGGCCCCCTTCCCAAGTGATGCTCTTTTCTTTATATCATTCAAGCGTATTTTACTTTTACCAATTGAACTAATCGCACAAATGGTAAACAATGATATTTTTTACAACTTTTACCATTTGCATTGAATCTCACTGTTACAGGACTTGAACAAGTGGTGAGTATTGGACTCATAAATGCTTTATATCGATTCAATTTTTCAGGGACCGCCGCTGGGAGTTTAAATACTGCAAGTTGAAGTTCCGTCGTAAGAAATATTATAAGTACCTAAAGTAACAAGATGCCGTGTGTGTACCCTTTCTGATCGCTAGAGTAGAAGACAAACATTTGAAACGGACGCATTTTTCCCATTTTACCCTCACGAGAAGGAGCGACACAGGTGACAGCCGAAGCTTCTTGAAACTAGTTAGTTGACTGTTTTCTCTCAGTTAATAAACATGATTAATTAACCTGAAAACGCAGATATATGATTTTATTCATGGCGAAACTGCACAGTTTATAAGGGGAGTACGAAACCCTCACAAATAAACTAGGTTCCGTCCACAAAACGATACTGAACATAAATTAAATCCTCGATAGTCCACCCGTATCCTGATATTTTGAAATCGGAGACTTTTTTTTAAGTGTGCACACTTAGCGTATTGGAATCTTTCCCGCCAGTCCAAACAAATACGCTAAAACGATAAAAATACGATTGCAGGTCTTACAGGGCATGCGTTTTATATTGACATTTACTTAGATTCGCCAGTGCTGGCAGGGTTACCACAAGGCACAGCGCTGGGCACCAATTACTGCGGGCCCGTAACAATCCCTTCCCCCGTAAGAGAACACGTCATTTACTCTTGACGAGCAGTGTGTGGGTTCTCTTACGTTCCACAGGAATTATTGTGTGACACAGGGCCTACAGTTTATCTTCCTTATCGGCGAATACTAGAAAGTCTAACCGTTTGCAGATGTTATTACAAAGGTAGCACTTTCTTTAATTTTCAGTTATTTAAAGACCCTGAGTGTTGGTCCGACCGGTGTTAACCAGTGGCCTCTCTCTTAGCCTATTCCAGGCGTTCAGGCTCCGCTCGTTTTTGTTTTTTTTTTTGTTCGTGAATTTTTCTTCCGCGCTCTACTATCTGAACGCCTGGAACAGGCTACCTCCCGCTTGGCAGACCAGTGTCACAGTGATATGGGCTTCCCCGCGTTTTGGGCATCCCCATTCCCAAAACCCTAGTGATATGGGCATCTCCTGTAACCCTAACCCTAACCCAAATCGCTAAGGTAATATGAGAAGTGGATGCCCATATCACCAGGGTTTTGGGAATGGGGATGCCCAAAACGAGGGGATGGCCATGTCACTGTAACACCGGCGCTTTAACGTCAACAAAAGATCTGGGCACTAGAGTAACCGGCGCTTATCCAACTGAGCGGATCTTACGTAGGTTCATCGTATTCGAAAACCTCCGATTTCGCCCGTGAAAACGATAAGCCAGCGTTTTCAATAACCGCCACCCTGGAGAGCGTTTTTTGAAAGGATGAGTTTCGGTGACCGTTTTTACGGAAAATCTGTGGACGGTAGGCCAAACTGGAGAATCTCCGTTTTCAAACAAAAACGGAAAAGTGTGGACGGAGCCTAAGGAACACAATGGGCGCGATCCATTCACCAAAATTTCTGGAAATTTCGGTCCATAACTCAATGGATCGGTTCGGTCCAACCGGAAAAGTTTCTAAAAATCTAGTCCACCTTTTGAGGTGGATCACTTGTCCCGGTCGGACCGGTCTGAATTTTGGTTGAATGGATCGCGCCCAAGACTTCTCTCAACCTAATTACCTATTATGTTTTTCGTGAATGGTCTACTTTTAAATTGTCTTTTTCAACATTTAATTCAAAGAGGACAGACGGCAAATTGTTGTCACTCGAAATATAAAAAAGTCGTAACTGTTCATTAGTAAGATGCCTAAAATGTATGCAATTATCTACAATTAGTTTCGGCTCCATTAAACCTTACACCAATTGTAAAACATTTTAGGAGCAGCCACCCACAACGTGAGCACAGTTACTGACAAGGTGTATGAGTAGGAAAACTACTCAGCTTAGTCTCCTTTCAAATGCCAATATTTAAAATATATCACGGGTCATGCATGTTCGTCGTTGTCCAAACAATTTGTTGGCGAAGATGCTGTTTGCGAAGTCTTAGCGTCCATACCAACGGGACCCTTGGATAAATATCGCACAAAAGTATTTATTAAATGTCTCCATTGAACAAGCAAAGAGGTGTAGGTCAGATAAGGGTGGTTTCGCTGCATTGGTTGCGGACTGTGCATGTAGTTCTCTCTTGATAGTAACAAGATTACTGATTGAAGGATTTTATACGCAGCTGAGCTGTTTTTTCTCTGATGCTAAATCTCACAACTTTCGACAGTAAAACATAGAACAATTTCAATTAAACTCAATCGTCAATACAGCTCGATACCGCATCAAAATAAAAGGAGTGCCCTATTTACTCAAAAACGCAGAGTGGATATTACAACTGACAGTTTAAGGGAGATCTATTGCTTAAGGTTGAAATTCAAAGAAATCAATGCCTTCATATACACCCACTCGCACAATACCCCTTTTAATACGACGTCATTTAAATGCAACTTTTATTCACATTTTTTTTTCTTCTGACAACTTCAATTTCGTAAAGTTTATATCATACAGTACTGTAATATACAGACTCTTGCTCCAATAAATGAGAAAACTGACGAAAGTTCTTTCCTACAACATTTGAGATCAGACACAGTACCTTGATTCGAATATTTCAGTACTGATATCCATGCATGACAATTTATTTATCCAGACCCGTTTTCTCTCAAACAAAGCGTCTGTGTACTTAAAGAAAAAACGTCTCTGCCTGTTTCATGCTAACAAAACGGAGCTGAATGATTCTCTGAACTGACATAACTTGAATAGTGGCATAATCGCGCACATCACACTGAAGATTCTGTCCTTGACTTGCGTTTCTGCCGGCGTCAAACGGTACGTTTAATGCCCAGGCCAAACGTCGAACTTTTCATAGTTCATGAGTTCGACGTCTGGCTCAGTTAAGTTCGAATGAATGAGTTGGATTCTATCCGTCTGCTGTCTGCTTCAGACGAATAGAACGTCTGAAGATCGTCTCCAGGACAAACGTCGATCTTCACATGCGACGAACTAAACTAAAAAATTAGTAAATTTGTGTAATATATATTTAGCCGCGTTCGGGAGCAAATTTATTACTGATCATAAATTTGCTTTTTGGTCTAACTCAGTTGATTAGTTCCACGCGTTCTAAGCTCGACATCTGACCCAACAGACGATCATAACTTAATTTAGGTCGACCCAAATTAGAGTTTGGTTCGTCTCATGAAAAGTCGTTTAGCCTAGGCCTTACAGATTTTTAGTACAAACGCTTTATTCCCTAATTAAAATTAATAATTCTTCGTTTTTCGCGGTTTCAGCTTCTGCTGAAGATTAGTATATTAAGGTGGCTGAACACAGCTTTGTAGGTTGTGGGTCATTACAATTCATTAGGGTGTTCATTTAAGCCTCGTTTCCGAGGTTAAACATAAGATTTCGATCGTTCCATAGCAACATGGATGGTTTGAAACGAGCCTAAAATTATGATTTCGTTAGGGTTATGCAAAATCCAGCCAGTAGACGTCCTTATAAATTTGCCCACAGGTTACTATAAGTAATCCTCATTTTTTCAGAAACAACTTAAACCAATTGTAACTTATTACAAACAGTTTTTGAAATTGCTAACAAAATATCTGTTATGTGAAATTTAAATGTGTCAAAAAAAAAAATTAGTTTTAAGGTTTTCAATGATGAAGAGCGATATTGACAAGAATTTTTCCAGATTTTTTCAAATTGTAATGAGTAGATTTTGAGATATCGTCGTTTTTCTACGTCTACATGAAAGTCAAAACAAGCGCTCTCACGTTTTTCTCTAAAGGTGATGTTACACGGGACGCTGATTTGCAACAACGATTTTTAGCCCGTATACAGCATTGCAATGCTGGAACAATGTTGTAACCATTCGGAAGGAACAAGGTCGCAACGATGTTGTTTCACATCACCTTAAGTACGCACGCTCAGCTCAGCTGGGTCACGCGATTTGACAAAAGCGACGAAAACAGAATAAATTTTCTACAGAAAACTTCAGGCCGATTTTTCTCAGCGGGTCCGCACATTTTTTCTAAAACATCCCCCATCCTAAGTTTGCGTAAATCTTGAACTTATGTACAAAAAATATCCTCCATTTTTATCTAGGGCAAAAATAAGCTTACTATCTATCGTAAAACATACATAAGGTCGAGCCTGCTGCAGTGTCATTGATCTTAATTAGGTGGTGTAATATTTATTTCACAGATGAACCCGTTGAATATGGCACGCTTGTCTTTGGTATGGTTCCTACTCGTGGGGCTTATCTCAATGACTCTTGCTGTCAAAATGATGTCATCCAAAGAGGAAAGCAAACCAGACATTAAACGAGTTTTCTGCAACAACAACAACAACAATAACAACAACAATAATAATAACAACAATAACAACAACAACAATAACTGGGGGCTGGTTAAACGGGTATTTTGCAATAACAATAATAATAACAACAATAACAATAACAACAATAACAACAACAATAATAATAATAACAACAACAACAACAACCGGCGTGTCGAATGCCCTGCAGGTATCAACGTTTAGTTAACTCTTTCTTTTGGAGTTCTTGATCTATAGATGTCAATTTGTATCTCTTTTCTCCGAACTAGTAACTTACTCATTGGCTCATTACTCAAGGTTGATTAAAAGCCGGATATTCCGGAGAGATTTTATTCCCTTTTCTCGTTGGAAATAAAGAGGTCACACGTGTATGATTGTGAACGTATTTCGAACGATTGAACCCATTTCTTGAATGCTGTGACCTAAATGAGCAACAAAACAACGACGCAAACAAGGCCTACATTGCTGGATCTAGACCTTGAGATAAGGGAGGGGGGGCAGTCATCCAGACCCTTAAGGCCTTAGTTTGGTCCAAAAATAAGGGGGGCGGACCCCCCGGGCCCCTCCCGCGGATCCGCCACTGGCTTATCCATTCCGTGTCAATCATTGCTCGCCCAAAGTAAGGGAATCCAGGACAGTCTTGGATTCTGGATTCGACGCTGTAGATTCAGGATTCCAGGTACTGGATTCCAGTCTTTTTTAATGGAACTTGGATTCTGGATTCGAGTCGTTGGTGGTATTGCGGATTCCTTGAGCTGTACTCCGAATCCACACGCAAAAATTTCCCAGATTACAGAATCTGGATTCTATTAGGCGAGGCTACATGGTCATCAAATTGCTCTTTGCAGGTCAAACTGTGAAATCCATTTACGTCGTG